TTTTGTTTATTTTTCTTCTAAAGAAGAAAACAAAGACTTGTCAATCAAATGAAATGGAAAAAGTTAAATAAGTAGAGAACTGACAAAGCTGTCATATCAGGGCTTGGTTATTTACATGATGTTGAATGTCTTTTGTGAATTAAGCCTCAGTAAAACCAGTGTCACCATGAAATGCTGGGGTTTCAACCCCAAGCCCCAAATTAAGGTTGACATATGGGTCATTCCCACAGCCCTTCATAAAGTGGGGGTGAGTTTGCCTTTAGGCTTCCCTCCAGGGTGCGGCGGCCTTGCAGGGAGAGCCATTGGGTAAATGAGCCCCAGGTGTCTGCAGTAAGTAAGCAAAGGTCAGGTGTCCCACTTGGGGATAACAGCTGGGACCACTTGCAGGCAGGGGCAGTGTCTGTCTGTGAGGTGGGTGCCCTGTGCAGAGTTCCCTGTTGGGGAAGGACCTCCTGCCTCCCTGGGACTGGGCTCCAGTCAGGTCTGGCTTTTGTAAATGTGGGCTGTGTAGAGATTCAGTGTGTGGCTTCCTTGGTCTTATGTGTTTGGTTTGTTGACTCAGTTGTCTCCTGTCCATTCTATAGGAAACTGCATTTCTCCATTTATTCCACCCATTGTTGGTTGTGTGGTGTTGTTGTTGGGGTCAGTGGGATTGATGTTGATTATTTATAATGTGACTGACTTGTTTGTACCCCCAGTGCTCACCCATGTACTGACCCTTTTTGTATCAAATACAATTTGGTTATTGGTTCATCTTTATGCTGGCTGTGTCTTTTATGCTAGGCCTAATAATTGGCAAAATACACCAAGTATGATGATTTTGCCAGACAGGTTAAAGGAAGAATATCTATGTGCTCAGTCCTTTACACTAAAGATAACATGCAAAATGCTTACTTAAAAAATTAATATAAATCAAGAGGAATTAAATGAATGCTATATAAATCAGCATTTCTTCAATGGCTTCAGAAAACCATTTTTCATCCTTTACATACTTGTGGGTCAGATATTGCCTCAAGGAGAAAGTTCATTAATAATTTAAAAATCACCATTTTTGTTTCTTACGAGAGCAATAAGAAGAGCTTTCAGGGTTACTGATATGCAACATATTCCAAGGACTACTGTTTATTAAAAGAAGACTTTTCTTCGTGGGGTACCCCATACAAGAAAGACATGGACCTTTTAAAGACAATCCAGAAGAGAACCATGCAACTGATTGGAGGACTGGAACACCTCTCCTATGAAGAAAGGCTGAGAGAGTTGGAATTGTTCAGCCTGGAGACAAAGCCTTAAGGGAGACCTTATTACAGCCTTTTTCTATATATAAACAGGGGTTATAAGAATGATGGAGAAAGACCTTTTGCAAAGGCCTATCATGATAGAACAAGTGGTAACACTTTTAAACTGAAAGGTGGTAGACTTAGAGTGGACAGAAGGAAGAAATTTTTTATGACAACTGTGGTGGGACACTGGCACAGATTGCTTAGTGAAGTTGTGGATGCCCCATCATTGGAAGCATTCGAAGTCAGATTGAACGAGTCTTTGAGCAACATGGTTTAGTGGAAGGTGTCCCTGCCCATGGCAAATGAGGTGGACTAGATGAACTTTGAAGGTCCCTTTCAACCCAAAACATTAATTCTATTAAACTATTGCGCATCTGTGTTTGAAAACACTTGGAAAACATTCCTAATCTTTATACAGAATTCCCAAATCCTACTCATAGAAAGTACTCACAATGATTATGTAAAAATGACTTATAAAAGATAAAATATTTTTAAAATACTGTTCTAAACTATAAGCTGATATTTTAAAAAAAATTTATCATATTGTTTTGAAGGAGATGTATTTTCCTGAAGTTCTGTATCAACATTAGGCACACCACTCCATCTGACATTATTATTATGATTGATTTTGCTATGCCATTAATGAAATTTGGCTTGAATGTCTTTTTCCACCAAGACACAGTGATATCGGAGATATTTTCTAGCATTATCCTCATTTCTTATCTACTTATAACTCTTCGTTATTGACAAAGAAAAATCCAATTTAAATTCATAACACTAGTAAAATCAATTTCTGAAAACTTTTTCTCATGAAAATAATATCTCTTCTGTCATGACTTAGAACTGTCATTCACATGTTGCCTCTTCCAACGTTCCACTGACCTGTCATTATATTTAAATATTATATTAAGATAAGAAACCTTGTCAATATTATGAAAACATGCAAGGCTATAGAATAAATAACTTTATTCATACATTCTGAGCAATTGCAGTGTGAAGAAAGTTGCTAAGTGGATCTTTCTTATAATTGTTATCTTAACAAGAATTTTAACAATTTCTACTGGTGTTTTGATGTCTAATTCTATCTGAAGGAAAACAGGAACTAGATAATTCAGTGGAACTAAATTATTACACAAGACCTATATTCACTCAGTCTATTATAGGTATCAGTACTAAAAATTAACATATAGATCTCTGTAAAACTGTAAGATACTTTGTGGGAACAGAGTTCATACTTACCTTGGAACTTTAGGGAATGTGACTGAATAGGCTTCTGTCTGAATCTCATAAGCACAATAAAAATCATCATAATGAAAGACTAAAACCTAGAATAATAAAAGCACTAATTATGCATTAACATTGATGTCAAATTGATAGTAGAGAGAAGTCTCTGGAGAAAAAAAAAATATATATTATCCCTACTGTATTAGGAAATTAGAACCACAGACCAATATTATGATGATGTTGGTTTTACATCCAGATTACTGTCAATTAATTATTGCACTGTACTTCAACATCTTTTTGAATCATGTGTTAATAGATCCTGTCAAAACAGAGCCTGGAAGCTAATAAGAATTTCGTCATTATGTCCATTTATGTTCCCTTAAATAGAACAAGTCAAAACTCAAAAAATAAATTATTGGATGAAGAAAATAATTACTTAGGAACCAAGCATTAATTTAGTATTAATAGGTATTATCATCAGTTATTCCTCTAGTATTTGTGGCAACCAATACAGGTAATTTTATAATGCGGTGATCAAGACAGGTTTCTGTTCTTTATCCCTTTTCCAAAACCTTTGCTTCCTATTAGTAGTAACTAATTCTTCAGGTAACATGGCTTGCAAATAGATTTTTTTTTTTTTTTCTCCAATAGTTGAATTAAACAAATTAATGTTAGCTGTCTGTTGACACATAGTTTTTTCTAGGCCACTGAATTTCACTTACACTTGATTTACTATTAGTTCATGAATTAAAAAAAAAAAAAAAAAAAAAAAAAAAAGTTTATTATAATTCAACAGAGAAAACAGTCTTCCTGAAATAATTGTCAATAGAGGAATTTTTTTTGGCAATACCAGTCTTGTACATATTGACAAGGAACATGAGATACTATTTCAGGTGGTGAATTTTGCAGTCTTTTTGTGTGAAAATAACTAATTCCAGTTCATGCTCTCTCTGTCACAGGAAGAAACATGACAAGTTTTTTCTCTGTACCTTCAAATCGTACAGTTTTCTTAGTCTCTGACTATACATGACCTACTTTATCTACCTGATGGTATTATATTACATTAGATTTTGAATAAAATAACATTATCTGATGTATCTAATGTAAACATGAACTCATTGTTTTTGTTGAGCTTAGGAGTTAAATCCTTAAAGTGTATTTGGCATATGAAATCACTTTCTGGTTTCTATTTTGATAGCCTTATATACAGCTAATAAAATCACTGACACCTATATCCATGTAATATTGCATGCACCAGAGAGAAAAAAATATATGAAGTGAAAATGTGCAACATATTTTACTTGATTGGTTGTAAACTCTCTGATGCAGTTCAGAAGATGAAAATAGTGTTGCTTAATGTATTTCAGGAATAAATCATTTATATCTGATTGAAATGCAGATGAGCATCATAAACTATTGTAACTTGAAAGGATTGATCTCCTGATGCAATCTTCTTCCATCTGCTTCGGGTGTAAAGTTTAGAGGGAATTTGCTACAGTTACTGAATGAAATTTGGGTTCAGATACAATCCCCCAACCTGAAAGTCCCAATGTGAATGAAAACTTTTTTAATACTTCTGATATTTCTATTAAAAAAAAAAAATCCCAAAACTTCATAATAAAATCATTGTTAATTATGAGAAATTATGGAACTACTAGTGAAAATCTGGATGAGAACAAATGGTGAATGTGGATGATTCTGAGGTTAAGAGCTAATCCCATATTTCAAATCTTAAAATACTGTTAATGATAAATGTCCCTATCCAATATCAGGGGAGGTTTTGATATGACCCCAAGAGCAAGATTTAGACACAAATGAGGTCAAAGGCCATATAACCCAAACAGTTTTTACTATTAAAAGTGAAGAGTAGTAGTGATAGAACAGCATTGAAGGAAAAGACAGAAATCAAGCAAGCATCCAGAATAGAGTTGCAAGTTAAATTTTATCCCAGATGGGGAATGCGTTGTCTCCAGAAGCCAAATAGCCCAATGAATCTTTGAGCTTCTTTTTGTCTTGTGGTACAGCAAAATCTAAAAAATTTTTGTTTGTCAGGTTTCAGGCGGTATTTCTTGATGCCCACAGTGCCACTGAATTCCTAGAAACTTCAACATCTGAGACAGTCCTTGGATTTTTTTTTTTTTTCTTTCTCAGGGTTAATTCTTAACCCTCTCTTTCATGTGATTTACCACTAATTCAAGGACTCGTTGTACCTCCTCATCATCATTTCCTTGGATCAAATCATCATCTATATAGTGACTTAGTTGGGTGTGAGGAGGCAGCTGTATCTCATCTAAATGTTCAGCTACAATTCTATGACAGATAGCGGGGCTATGCAACCACCCCTGTGGTAATCTAGTGAAAGTGTATTGCCAGCCCTGCCGTATGAAGGCAAATCGATCCCAATGCTCTTCTGCAATCAGGATGGTAAAAAATGCATTAGCCAAATCTATTACAGTGTACACAGTTTCTGGATGTTTCTGAACTTTTTCTATTAAAGTGGCAGTGTCTGGAACCGCTGCTGCAAGCAGTGGAGTATGTTTGTTTAGTTCTCTAAAATCCACCGTAATTCTTCAGGATCCATCACTTTTCTTGACAGGCCATATCAGATTGTTCCACACTGTCGTGGTTGGCTTTAAAGCTCCTACATCTAATAAATATCTAATTGTCTGTGATATCTCTTCATGTACTCCCAGAATTCTATACTGCTTCATTGTGACTAACTTAGTTGCAGCCAGGATCTGCACAGGAGGCATTTCTACTTTACTAATGGTAACAGGTCTGGCACTAATACAGGGTTTAACTCCAAGTTGATACTGACCATCAGAAAGATTTAAAGTTAGTTTTTTTAGAATCTCTATATTTTAATTTCTATTTGTGTTTGTACAGCTTTAATATATCTTCCTCCTAAACCTGTAATAATTAGAAGTTGTCCCTTAAATTTCTTGGGATTCCAATATATTAAGGAGGCCTCTGCTCCAGTGTCAATCAGGGTATTTACAGTATGTGGGGACTGCTTGTTCTAAAAAAATTTAAAAAAGCTCCACATTGGGTCATTGGTCCTTCTGCACCCACTGCCCTGGAGCTTGGCCATTAATTCATTTTACTGATCATAATATTGATTCACTTCCCTTGCCTCGTGCAAAGGGTGCAAGTCAGAAAACGTTGCCTGATTGTCTTTCAACCCCGGTAGCAATGATCCCCCTACGGAGCGGGGTGGGAGGCAGAGAGCTGGGGGGCGGCAGCTGTGGGCAGATGGAGGGTCCCATTGAGGTTTGAGAAGGGGTGACGTAGGCTGAGTTGTCCCTGAATTCCTGGTTTTAGAACTCTGCACTCTCTTGCTAGGTTTATTCAGCCCTCTCTGTGTATATACTCACGAGAGCTTGTTAGCTGGAACACTATCTTTTTTTCTTTTTTTTTTTTTGTTCACAAGACATGCTGTCTTTGATCAAAATTCCTTATGAGAAATCCTATTTTCACTGTCTTTAATGCCGTCTTGAGTATCTTGATTTCCTGCACTCCTTCAGGGGTCCCACTCCCCAAGGTTACCCAGCCAATGTATTTTTCTATCGCATCACAAAGGGGATATCCTATCTTAGTAATCAAAAGTCATGATAACATTTTTACAGTAATACCATGTCTCTCACACTCTCACACACTCACACACACTCTTAGATTAAACAGATTGATCTTACATTACCACACAAGGAGCTCCCTTACACCATTCACACAAACAACAGAGAATTACACTTATAACCATAAGTACCACTAGGACAATTATGACAAACGACAAATCCAAATTTAACACCATACACACAATATACAAGTTCCAAGTCTCAGAGTCAATATTGGTGCCAATGGTCAAAGTACACAACAAATCCAGCCCTCTCCTTTTCCTATACTTATATTGTGCTACTCACACTGTGGTTTTCTCTGCCACTGTCTGATAAGTATCCAGCTTATTAACAAGCAACTTATTCCAGAATTACAACATTACTATTTGACTCTGTAAATCACATATCTGTTGCTCCATCTGGGAGCACTCTAACAACAGCGTCCCTTTACTCTGGTGTTGTTTCTTATATGCAGTTAACAAAATCCATCCTTGTTTACTTAAATTTATCGTCTCTTTTCCTTGTCACACAATTCACATCATCTAATGGTTTGGCTTCTTTCAACCAGCTCTCCCATTGTTCTTATGGTCCTCCAACCTGAGCCCACTCCTGGGCCTGCAAGCTACACTGAGGATTTTTCCAACTGAGAGTATGTTGTGGACTTGAATAATTACCTTTGAGCTTAAATAATGGTATTTTTTTGAATCCCATTTCTGACACCAATTTATGTTTTGTTGATTAAGGATACCAAATAACTCAGACACCAGGGTGAAAGAGCAGGCGTATTTTACTGGAGATAACTAAATAATGTAACAGTGTAATACAGAAAACATGCAGTAAGAAAAAACAGAATAGTTCACTTAAAGCAGCAAACAGGAAAATACAGGGTAACGCATCAAATCATTACTACACGAGATAAAGAATAGTGATTAAGAAAGATCCATCACCACTTGCCTACGTTACCATCACCCAGACCCGCAGTGACTGGGCAGCCCCGGTCACAGCGAGGGTTTGCAGAGCCTGTCCCGGCAAGGGGGAAATCCTACACGGTGCATCCACCCATAGGTGAGGCTTCCAAAGTCGCTGTGAGTGGGTCCAGCCTTATATACCAGAGATCAACAACCCAGAATAGCTGGCACCTTTGTTTTGAGTGGAAAATTTCTGGTTTCATTCTCCTGTTGGATTCCACCCAAAGCCTGACCAGGGCTCAGGGGGGAAACCAGGGGAGTTTCTAACAAGGCCAGATACTTGGGTTCTCAGCCTTGAACAAGGCTAAACAAGGGAAGTTGGGTACATTCTCTCAGCATTTCATCCTCACTACTGATTGTATTCTGTCTAAGCTGCATCTTTCACTCACTATCTTACATACTTTGTTAATAATTCCATACTAAGTTAGCAGCTTCGGTTTGGGGCCTGTTGATCAGGCTTCAGTACTTCAATGCTTTAGCACTTTTTACATCAGCATAGGTGGTTTGTTATAACTTAGTACAATACCTGCTAGCACAATGGTTGTCAGTTATAAAATATACAGGATTCATCTATAGGTCAACTCTGGCTTGGGCCCGTTGTCCAAGCCTTAGCACTTCACTGGTGTACACAACAGAACCACAAAGTATTGAGCTTACACGATGGAGCCAGTGGTAAACATCTGATTTCACTCAGTCCATGTCTTCCCCGTTGAGGCTTATCTAAGGAGCCTGACAATGCGACTGCAAGGGAGTGGGGGGTGCATCCTTTGATACACTCCTGCTTCCTTGTGTGACATTCCTTAGACTAATCCAAAGGCCACAGCTTGTCCTTGAGGTTTCCACACACAAAAATAAGCCTTGTGGCACTCATTTGACTTTTCAGTCTCTCACACCAAATCAGTAGTTTTTAATTCTTAGGTGGCTTATTTAACACATAAGGAGAGATATAACAAGCCAGAAGTCAGTGTCAGTGGCTTAAAGGCTTTTATTTCTCTATGCTTTGCAGATAATTTCTAGATTTTATTGACTGCTGTCTAGGATTACAAGACCTGTTTAGGGAAGGGAAAGGATCCTAAATTCTTATCTCTGAACACTGTTTTGTTGTAAGGACCCAAGAGTAGCACGTAGAGCCTTCATCACATTAGAACAATCAATAAATTAGAACTTTAGCATATCTATACTTATAAATTAGTTAGGGGACACAAACTTCTTGCAATAACGATCACTAGCCAAAAGAGACTGGGAGGTGAAGAGTTATATTACTAAAAGTGTGTGAAAGAGAAAGGGAAATATTATCTAAAAGGTCATTTCCAATTTAACAAATGTTGAATAAACAGAGCAATAGTTATTGCTTTTAAAAACATATATTTTTTATTTGTTAGGAACAATAAGAAAACTGCCCTTTTAGTAAAATATTGTACACAGTTTCTGAAAAACAAATAGTCTTATTTGAAAGCTGGCATGGAATGCAAGGATCAGCAGTGGTTTGACATTGAGAAATTAAGCTCAGTTATTAGCAGCAGGGAACTGTACTCAATGAGCAGAGAAAAATATATATAACACTCAGCCTGTAAAGAACAGTATTACTTTGTAAAATAGTTGCCTGTCAACAGATTTCTTTATAACTTTTGTAACTGAATAAAGCCATTGAATATTCCATTCACTCTTCTTTCAGTTGATATTTTTATTGCCTGAGTGTCATCATATTGTAAACTGATCTCCCCAAAGTGTCCTTCTTTAAAGAACTTCTGGATGGGTCCGAATCTGCAAGATTTTTTTTTTTTTCTATGATCCCTGGAGTTGCATGGTCATGCTTACATTCTGAGCAAGAACTTTTTGTGCTAGAGCACTACACCCTTGAACATTATAATGTCATATCTTAGGCTGATGGACTGAAGAGATAATTAACATGGAATAATTGAAAGTAGATACGGACAATAACAGAAACTTTCTTAAGGGTGAAAGAAATTAAAGACTGAGTGATCATAGAAACTTGATTTTTTAGAGTGTATTGCCTAGTGCATGTGTGTACTTTTTATAGATACTTTTATTACAGATAATAAATAAAAACTAATAACTCTTCAGGAGGAGAAAACATTAAGGGAAAATATCTATGTAGAAGAAAAATCAAATATCTAGAAAGTATGATATGATTTTTTTTTTTTTCCTTCTTTGAAAAGGTAGGAAATAGGGTAGGGTTATTAATTTCTGGGACTATGAGGAAATAACCTGATCTAGCTATTATGTATGAATGAAAATTGGCAGTGGTTGTACAATTAAGTTAATGGCTGACACTATGTGATAGAAAGTACAAAGAGAGGATGAAATGTAATAAATTGTAACTGAATATTTGGTGATATATTAGAAAGACTGTAGCCTAAATAAGGCTAAATTTACCAACTTCTGAATATGGTAAAATAACTATTACCATAATTGTCTAATAGCAATTTGTTCAGCTTTCTACTCTGAACAAGAAAGAATTTCTCTTCAGTTTGCATCTTGACAAATGTCTCAAATTTTTCTTTCCCGCTCCATCTTTTATTATTTTTAATATTCTATAACTGATGTGTTGGCTGCATACTCAAAGGTACTGTAAAACAGAGTGGAATTTTGTGGAACTGTCTATTTCCCAGTTCATTTTGTGGGTTTGTACAAAGAGGGAAGAAAAAAATAAGATGTTAAAGCTCCTTTTAGAAAAGAGGTGACTTGCAGATAATCATAAGGTGTTTCTTGCCTACTGAGGAGATGGGATCTTTCCTTGTGGTGTAGTAGAAGGGTTTAAAATATGCAAGTATAAAATATTTTTGTATTTCTTAGCAAAGAAAATGCCCCTTTGTCACTGAAAACCGGGATAAAAACTTATCGACACCAATGTGATGTAGATAAGCAGACACTTCTTCATTGACAGCTGGACGTGTAGGGGAGTGCTCTCACCAATAACACATGTTGGGCACCAGAATCATACACCTTATATAGAACTTACTAGTACATATTCATTAAGTATTCATACATAAGCATACAACTTCCAAGAAATCATTAACATATTCTCCTCCTAATTCTGATTCTGTGCAGTAAAGGTTAGAAATGTCTAGAAATAGGTCTGGGGTCTAATGTGAGTAGGTGGTCCATGAGTCGGTGGTCGCGATCTCCCCCTGCCAGAATTACCTTTTGTTTAAGCACATCGTTTTCTTGGCAGGTACCTGCAAGCTGTTACGGTTGCTGCCCTCAGTTCCCATTAATACTGGACCTTGACAACTACTTGCATTCTTCTAGTCCTATGTATGTATTATAGATCAGTTTACAAACCATTGTATGTTTTGTTACCTAGGTTCTAACCGTTCCAACTAAACAATTATGACCAATCCCTTCGCCCTTGGTACAGGGCTGTACAGGGGATTTTTGAGTAGCAGTCGGTGGCTAGATTCAAAATACAATAAATGTAAAATAAATTATTTTTACTAAAATATCTCTTAATTCTATACTTATAGTAAAATCAAACTCCTTTTTTTTTTTTTTTTTTCTCTTTATCAGTTCCAGCAGTTGCAGATTAGATACATTTAAAAGCAAGAACATACTGGTTGTTCTAAAATGATTATTTTTTCTTGATTTCAAGATACAATTTACACTAATATGAAGTATAAAACCAACTTATACATACACACACACATATATATTTAAATTTATATATACATATAACGTATAAAAATAAATATAAAATTTATTTTATATATATTTATATCTAAAAAGCCAACAATAACCTGATTGCAGAGCAGCAAAATAGCTCAGCAAATTTAACAGCTCACTGGAGATACCAGTCTTTTTTCTTTACTTCCTATTGTATTCTCAGCTGTATATTACTTCTAGCTCTATTACACCATAATGTGGTCTCTGACCCCTTTGTGAAATAATTCAGTCTGGTAGGCTTAGATCAGGAAAAGATTGGATTTAGATATAGGAAAAAAAAAAAACAAACAAAAAAACACAAACAAACAAACAAACAAACAAACAAAAATTCTGCATCGGCATACATCTCTGAGGGGTCACTCTCATGCCAGAAGTGAGGAGGCAACAGGAGTGGGATGAGAGAGGGAAATGAAATGGGAATGAGTGGGAGGATTGCTCCTTTTGCAACAACCATCTAACAATATTTAACACTGTTATACAGAACAAATAAGGGGTTTTTTGCAGACTTTGTCAAACAAGCATAGTTTGCTTCGAGGTTTGATTAAGTGGCCTTTAGCTTTCCTGAAACTCTGGCAATTCTAAAATTCTAAGAACAATCTACATTTTTATAATTTTATATCATGACTATTTTTCAAGTCAGGATTTTTGTTTTGTTTTGTTTTTTTTAAAAAAAAAAAAAAGTAAAAAAGCAACTTGTTTCATTTTTTGTAGTAATGAATAAATTTCTTCAGGTGCTACTGAAATATGCTACTGGTTCAGAATAGCAAATATATTTACTAGGTAAATATATTAGTAGAAATTCCTTTCTCACACAACAACTATACCAGTGTTTTGTTGACTTGAATGCTTACTGTAGAGTCTAAAAGAACATTAAGAACTCTTTTTTATAATCAGTTGTTACTTCACAGTCCTTCAGCTGGCTTCATGATCTTTATTTTATTGAGAAATCTTGGTGAAAATTGCATCTGTGAAGTGGAGGCAATATTCGTTGTGAAATATTTTGTACAAGCAAAAAAATATATCTGTAGTTTCATGTTTCTCTGATTCATTAAAAATAACATTCACCACCATCATTACCATCATCATCATCAATTGTCCACAGTGATTTCAAAGTTCCTGAAGAATGGCACCAGGGGAGTTCTCATTGTTATTTTCATTTAAATAGAAATTACTTGTTCAATAGTACTGCTTATTTAGTAAAATATTACTAAGTATAATTCTCTAATTTGTTAGCTCTTTAAAATGTGTTTATGTTACGCTTTCTCATTTAAATTTACCACAGTTCTTCCTCAGTTTCTAAGTGATTCTAAATTCTGAAATCTGTTTATGCTTAGCTGTGAAAAGGGCATAAACATTTTATGCAAAGAAATGGATCATTGAAATCTGCATACATTTTCAATAGTTGATAAAACTGAATCCTACTGAAGTCATGAATTTTAATTAATAAAGTATATTTTAGTAAGGCATTTTAGCATTAGATAAAATTATAGCAGAAAAGCAGGATTTGATTTTTCAGAATTTTGATATTAATATATGCATAAAATATTCAACTGGGAGAAATTTTATTTTGAAGTCATTTATTATATTAGTTTAGAAATGTCATCTTATATTTAAAACAATAAAGCTTAGTAATGTGACATGAAAATGGGGCTTCCAAGTGACCTGACATTTGAACTTGCAAACATTTCATTTTGATCAGAGCATAGAAACTAACTTGTCAATTAAGAAAAACAAACCCCAAAGAACAAATACCCCAAGTGAACAAAAAAAACACCCCCTCCCAGTACAAAACAAAACAAAACAAAAATCCCAGCACAAACTCTGTGAAAAGAACCCATAAAACTTGTACAATGACCAAAGTCTATCTGGCCTTGATGGGTTGTGACTGACAGTTTGTCTTAAAGCCAAAGGTGGCAATTTTCTGATGTTAACTATTGTAATGGTTGTTATCCTCATTCCGATGTACTTAAGAAGAGCTTGTTAGTAACTGTTAAACTGTAAAGGACCATATATATTATAAAATAGTTTAGCATTTTGTTCTGGTTTGAGCCCTGAGGGCAAAAGAGCACCACGCAGCTGCTCGCTGACTCCTTCCTCCATCAGGAATGGGAGGGAGAAAATTTTTATCTGATCTGCTCTAAGGGTCTGACTGTTAGAATGTTTCAACATCCTTGCTCTTATTTTTTTTTTTTTTAATTTTATTTTCTGAATCTTTTTAATCCAGTGCATTAATTCTTGTTCTATTGATTTCAGTTATGGAGAAGGCTAGTTTTTCTTTACTCCTTGGTCTACGATGTGTTTGAAAACTCTTTTATCTCCTCTCAGTTTTCTACTGAGAGGGTAAACCAGTCTAGCTTTTCATCACAGGATTTGTAGGTGAAAGATTTATTAATTCCTATTATTTTTCTCTAACCCCTTTCTATTTAGTTCATACTCTTAGACAGCATTTCCCAAAACTAGGCTTAACACTCTAATGATGGTACTTTGCAGTTATAAACAAGGTCAAATATTGGCTTTACATGTTTTCCGGGGTTTCTTTCCCTCTTCATATAGCTCTATATTGCCTTCAGAAATCACTGAAGACAAACAAGTAATTTGTCAGCCTGTATTTATGCAGTTGATTGCTTCTGCACTAGTGTCCTGGTTCAGCTAGGATAGGGTTAAGTTTTTCTTCCGAGCAGGGGGAAGTGATCTCCAGCCGGGTTATTCATACCATGCTGGGTTTAGCACAGCAGCGCAGGAAGCTTTTCTTTTGTGGCTTGCGTCGCAGAAAGCACGCGCGGTGGGCTGGCTGTATCCTTGTGGTATTTCTCTGTATATCTTTTGTCTTGTTCACTGTTATTGCTGTTTATTGTTGTTATCATTGCCACTGCTGCTGTTCAGATTGGTTTATCACACTGTTGTATTAAATTTCTTCTTATTTTAACCTGGGGTTTGTGCCCTACTTGTGTCCGAAGGAGGGAGAGGACAACAGCAACATGGTCTCCAGTCCCGGCAGGGCTTAAAGCCATCACAACTAGGTATAGAAGTACACTTTATATAATTTGTGTGTAAATGCATGTATCTCTAATAAAAAAATTTATATTTCTGGAATTGTTCTGCAATTTGTTGAGGTAACTTCAATTTCTGGTTTAGTCACAGAGCCTGCTTGTTATCCTCCAATGTTTTTAGTTGTCTGGAAATTGAATATTTTTTTTTATTATGTTAAACAGGTAGTTTATGAAAATATTGCACAGAGCTAGACCCACAACAAACTGCTGTAGAGCTCTGTTTGACACAGTATCCACTTCAAGAGGTTTCTTATCAATGTGTGTTATGCAAGCAAGCTCTACATGACACGAACACTAGGAATATCACTGTGTTAAACTTAATTCTACTGGTTTTCCACCACCTTGTCATCAATACAAGAGTTTTCTGTAACGGAAATCTGTACTGCAGAATTAGAGCCCCGGAACCTACAGTGCAACAGCCTTCATGTGGGATGTTGTGGTTTGAACTCAGGCAGTAGCCAATCGCCAAGTGACCAGTTGTTTACTCCCCGCCCCCTCCCCGGCGAAAAGGGGAGGGACAAAAGAAGAAATTCATAGGTTGACAAAAAAAAAAAAAAAAAAAA